AACTGTATTTTGGAGCTGGTCATATCTGCACAGTTCATCTGGGTTGGGTATGATATTAATGACACGGTGTTTGGTCACCCCTATAATGAGACCTCCTGCCCCCCCCCCAAAGATCTGATGGTTCTAACAGATGCTAATATCCTGTGCACGCACCTTGCAAGATGAGGCACTCCACACTGGAATTCTATTTCCCTTGTCTTATGGGGGTGGGAAATGATTTATTGCTCTCTGAGGAGGAAATTGAGGTGGTTAGAATGCTTTACATAGTTTCTTTATCTGGAGGGATAAATCATTAAAAATGAAATAGGAGAGAAATCAATAGACATTAATAGTGCTAACTACAGGATGTGGTGTCACAGCCACGCTTCCAGACTGGCTCGGGGCATGGCATTTATCATCCAGGAGCAGCCTCGTGGCGCTGACAATCGTGCACATAAAGTTCAATAAGATAAAACACCACTGGTGTGAATATTGCGCTCTCCTATGCGTAGCCTGTGCAATTCTTTCAGCTCCCTGAGTTAACCCTTCACATCATGTTAAAAAGCAGTACGAATGGTCATTGTGAAACTGATCTTCAGTGTTGCACATGGGCAAGAGATAAACAGAAAGGTTCCAGATTTGGAGGATGGATGGATGAGCGAGTGAGGGAGTGCAGATTCACACAAGTCCAGACAGGACATGTAGCAGGGAGGTGCTGAGGCAGAAAGAGGTCACTGGGGGCAAAGCATTGTGATTGGTGAATCCTGAGGACTCAGTGAGTCTTACATCAATTCTTAAAACTAAGTTTTGAAAGTAAATACTCGGTCCACCTTCTCGAGAACAGGCGAGCCCAGCAATGCATTCAACTGCGGTGTTCGCAACTGGACAGCCGCAGGTATGTGTGCTCACTGTCTCCCACCCATGAATGGGATTCCTCCGTATCTGCTGTATGTGGGGTTTCCATGAGCCATGAGTTCAGCTTTGCTGCTGCAGCATTTGCTGCCATTTGCATAATTCATTCTTAGAAAAAAATTAGTGGAAACAGGAAAAATAAAAACTCAACTGGCAATTATAAGAAGAATTTTACTCATAAATTTAATGTGAGACAGAGGCGGAAATTATTACGGATGCTAAAATAGGCAAAGCTTTCCACAGAATTGGATGTTAATTGACCTTGAATGGGCTAACTTTTGCTTACACGAAGAGGAAATAATCCAAGCAGATGATGCTTAAGAAAGGAAAGTTCAAGAACGGAGGACACGCTGGATGCCGTGTCTGGACAACAAAGTAGAAGTAGAGCGAGCGTTCTGGCCTGTTCTGGCCTTTGCTGGCCAGTATCCCTCATATCACACAGCCCTGTATTTAGACCTGCTTTCAGGGATGTATCCTTGTGGGAAAGTGAGAAACAGTACTGAATTAGTTACTGCACATATGCCAAAGAGCCTTATACACTGAAAAGCATGGGGCAGTGTCGGCTAATTTTTATTGATATTGGCATCTCCATTTCAGAACCAGGACACTGTGAATCACAAACAAGACCATCCCAAAGTCTAATTGTATCTCTCTGCCATACATTAGCACCTACTGTGATGTTGAACATGCAGCATGACTCCGGTATTGTGTTTTACAAGTCCACTTAAGAAAGTCTAGATCAGTCATTCTCAACCTGTGGGTCACGACCCTCTTGGGGAATCACATATCAGATACTTAGATTATGATTCATAACAATAGTAAAATTACAGTGATGAAATAGCAATGAAATAATTTCACGGTTGGGGGTCACCACATGAGGAACTGTATTAAAGTGTTACAGCCTTAGGAAGGTTGGGGACCACTGGGACAGAGTGTTTTCTTCCCTAATAACTTTATAGATCATGTACAGACAAGCAGTAAACTCTGCGCTCACTTCTCTATCACTCCTAATAGATACATAGGAATCGTCCCTAACATTTTGTATGGCAGGAAACCACCAGCTACTGTTCATTCATTTGTCCTTCTCCCAGTTTTTGAGGGGCATTTATTACATAACTTCTACATTCCAGCCACTTGAGTAAGGTCTTTCGTAAAGGGATGAAGGACTCACCAACCTGCTGGGAATGTCATTCAGATAACAACATAACCGGTGCTCTATGAAAGCTGTCCACAGAGATGAATGGCAACTCACGTGATACACACTGCTCATGGGAGAAATAGAGAGATCAGAGGGAAAGTCTGATTTGAGTGTATTTTCAAAGATAAATAGAAAGCAGACAATTGCTTACACAGAAAAGAAGGCCACAGACATTCCCAACAGAAAGAACCACCTCACCGCGAGGCCATGAAGAAAGGAATGGGTGCAGTGCTTTGGGGAACATAATGAGATCTGCAGGGACTGGGATGCTGGAAACAAGAATACAGAGAACAGCACAGAAGATGGTACAAAGGTAGTCTTTGAGGGACAGCAACAAGGCTGACAGTGGGCTTTGTGCTAGAACACAGTCTTCCTCCAACCCTGACTCGGGGACTGCATTTTCAACAAGCCCCTATGAGACTCTGATGATCACCACCTAGTGATGTGTCAAGGGCTTAAGCAAGGGGATCATGTGACCAGATCTATATTTTAGACTGAAGCACCAATCAGAAGAAGGCAAATCCACAACCATGAAATGAGCAAGTGACTCTTTGGCAGCACAACCACTTGGGGACTCTCTGGATGTGCTCAGCTTCACCCAAGACTTTCTGAATCATGAAGGGGCCAAGGTTTACACATCATAGGAAACTGTTACAATCCTAGGAAACTGTTATTTGTTTAGATTTTTAAAAAGATGAACAAGTGTTGGTAATTTCTCATGGCAAAAAAAATCTAATATTTTTAAACAAATTCCCTTCATGCTTCTGATGTACCCCAGAGTGTGAAGGCAGCTGATGGAATACAAGTGGGATTAATGTATCCCCCTTTCTATTTATCATTAGTTAGCCTGCAAATATGGACGTTACATAACTCATGCACCCCAAACAAATGTTGAAAGTGGGAAAGGGGTGTAAAACACAGCCAGCAATGAAGTAAGGCTACCAATAGGAAGGCTTTTAGAACTGGAAGCCATACCCAAGCCCTTTCTCTACCTCCCCCGACTCGCACAAACTCACACCATAAAAGTGATGTCAAAGAGAGGAGCAACCTGCCTGGGGCCACACTGAAAACTGTATTGAAAGACTCAGTGCTATGTGCTTGTGTGTGCACTGAATCAGCCTTGAGATTTGTGTCTGAAGTGTTCGGGATTTGCTTTATAGAGGCTTATTGCCACTTGAAGACAATGTTGTCATATTTAAAAGGAAGTGGGACAGAGAGGGTCATAAAGCAACTACGCATACTCATTTTGAAAATAAAACCGACGAAATGAGTACCAAACCCATTGAAGTATAAAAGATGCTTCATAAATGTTTGAATGAACAATTGACCTCTTAAACATAGGCTAAAGAAACGATGCCAATGTGAAAGGTTTCAGAGGAAGTGTAGAGGCTGTCAGTTCCCACAGTCTTTGGCATCCAGTCAAGAACTAGCTTCAGATCCCAGCCCTCCACATACACTTTCCTTTCTACCAAAAGACTGCCAAGAACATATGTGAACCAAGCTGAGCAACCCATCATATCCTAGGCAGCGGTGAAACCTGCAGATGAGATCAGCCTTCAAAGTCCTTCTCAATAAAAGCGCCAACTAGTACTTGCCGATAGCCAACAAAAGGGAGAATAAAAGCAACACAACCACTAATGCTGACTCAATAAAATAATAATAATAATAATAATAAAATAATAATAATAGCCAACCCCTCCTCTGGGTGGAGCTTATTAGGGCTTCCCATGCACTAACTTTTTTAGCTCTAGAGTGAACACTATTATTTCACCTTAATTTTATAGACAGGCATACAGGTGTGTTAGTAAGCTACAACAAACCACACAATTGCCAAGTAGCAGAATGGAGCCTTGAACCCAGATCACTTGATCCTAGCAGTTTACCCAGGGAGTTCCTTGGCCTTGTAAGCAAACCAAAAGCAGGGTGTAAGCTGACTCCTTGGAGCATGCCAGTCAGGCTGATGGCATTTCTGGGGAATGCAGTGTGGCTTGCTCTTTTTATCCGTAAGGAACAGGAATGCGGGGTTTTATCTGAGAATACTATATACAAAGTAAGACCTGGCATAAAGGAACCAAAGATGTCATTGTCTGCCCAGGCACAGCGTGGCTATTATTGCTCCAAACGCAGAAATGGTGCCTCATTCAGGCCTAGAAAATTCCAGGCTTTCACTGTCTCTTTAAAAGCTGTGGGGATTCGAGTGAGGTTCTGTGTGAAAGAAGCAGCAAACACGCTTCCCCTGTTTCTGTTCAGTAGGTTATTCAGGAAAATACTTGCAGAAAGAAAAATGAAGACAAAAAGTCCCAAGCCGGGTGTGTGAAGTTCCTAGAGTGAAGAGATTTAAAAGAAAATGGCCCACGGGGGCACAGTTCACTCAAATAAATAGGTGTCCCTGTCAGCGTCCCCCCAAGAAACAAGGACCCAAAGGTCTGTGAATCTGCCTGAACCCCAGCACCCCTAAAGGCAGGAAGAGAGCCCCAGCCCACAAATACAATCTGAATATCAAGTCCTAAAGAAAGAAAAGTTAGGAAACCAAGAAGCCAGAGCAGGATAAGGGAGACCTCAGAGGAAGGCCAGGCCAACGATGATTTCACTCTCCGATGTCCCCCAAATCTCCCTGCACCCCTCCACCCAATGTCACAATCAACGTGAGCAAACACAGGCAAAGCAACACAGAGGCACAAAACACACAAAATAAAATGCATAACGAGGAGATCATCCCTGGAGTCCCAAATAACAACACCAAACACAAACAATGTCAATAAATCCCTGGAAGCAGACAAACCATCCGTGTCCCGCTTCCCTTGCACCAAGGTACCCTGGTTAAAGGGAGACGTGCCCTCCAGCCCCAAAGAAGCCTCCCAGCAATCTCCAAGCCCAATGGCCTCCAGAGTTGAGTTTGTTTAACTCTTACCGGGTCCCGAGATGCTGTGATTGGCAGCACAACCTGTTTTCCACTGGTCTTCACCCACTCCAGCCCAGATTCAAAATCTGTTCTCAACAGCGCCGCTGGCCTCCAAGCAGAGTCCCAGGAGAAAACGATGTTTGTGTCCCTTGTTTAGGTTCGGAAGATGGGGGCTCGGGGAAGGGGTTCCAGTCCTCGAGCCCCAGTTTCGCACACAGACCGGGTCCTGCAGCAAACTTGAACAAGGTTTTCCCTGTCTGTCTGGAGATGCTGGAGGAGGAAAGCAGTAACCGGAGCCGGACTGGGATGCGAGCAGTTGCCGCTGCTGCAGCTGCTGCCTCCGGGACAGTGGCCTCTGGGGAGGAGGGAGGGGTGTCGCTCGCTCGCAATCCCTCCAAACCTGAAGTCTCCTTCTGGCCGGACTCCTGGAACCCCTTCAGTGACCCAAACACGAAGTTAGCAAACTTGGAGTCACCGCGGGACTTGAGAGAGTTATAGCGTAGTGCGGTGCCCGACACGGTGCCGGTGCTAACCCCGCGACAAAGTACTCCGGGGGGCGGGGGGGGGGGGGGACAAGACTCTCTACAAGGATATGGGGGACAGGGTTAGCGCCCGCCAAGTGGACAGGACAGAGCGTCCCCCCATGTGCAAAAGCGCAAAAGTGGGACCGAGAAGGGATGGGGACTAGGCCAGGCCACGGTGCATTGAGCCGCAGCTAAGTGGCTGCGAAGGTGGTGAGGGAAGAGGGAGGCGATTGGAGGGTGACCCGCCAGCTTTGCGGGGCGGGCGGAGGGACAGCTTCCCCATCACCGAACTCCCGCCGGGTCGCTGCCAGGTCCCCGCTCCACGATTTCTTGGGGAATAGCTCCCTCTGCCGACCGCCCAGGAGGCCCGGGTGACGGGGGGGGGGGGGGGGGGGGGGTAGACCCGAACAAGCCGGCTCCACCTCCCACTTCCCCTCCAGACTGAAGAATTCCTTCACGACAGGACAACCCCGAACCAGACAAAGCTTTCTAGCTGTTAGGCAGGAGTTTCTTTATTCTACTCACTTCCAAACACACAGGAACGCGGCCGAGGGTCCCATTCTCAACCCCAGATAGCCAGACAAGTCTCTCCTCCAGGTTTCTCTTTCTGGTGTAACAGATGCTCTTTCCAGAAAAGCCTCCAAGTTTACAGGCGCACCGAGTTTTTCTTCTTCGCAAATAATCCGGACTCCAGATTGTGTTCAGTAAATTCATACGGAAATGAAAGAACACTCTTATTTCCTGAGGCAAAGTGAAAATGCTCAAACCGCACCTGCCCCCATCGTCTTTGCAGTTCCCTGGAATCACTGGCGAGGACCGTTTGTTGTGAGCTATCTGTCTGTCTATCTGTCTGTCTGGTTGACTGGGTATCATAGTTGGGCTCTGGAAATAGTATCTTTACTTATCTTTAAGCTGACCGGTTGCTTGCCCGTACGTTGTCTCTCTGCCATCTCTGTCTGTCTAGCTGGTTAACTAGGTGTTGACTATCTTTGGAAGATAGTGCCTTTGCGGCAAGCCCTATAGTTCGGATGGGAAGGTCATTGGAGCCCTGCTCACAAGTAGGCCCTGATGGCGCTAGGGCCCACAGACTTTCCTTGGCCAGAATATGAACTCTGAAATCAGGACAAATAGGCCTCGAAGTGACTTATGCATATGGCAGTTTTCTACAGCTTTCAAACTAATACCAGTTCATACCGTTTATTCCCCAAAGCTTGACTTTAAAAAATAAAAGTCTACTATTCCACTTTCTTTCTGTTTCTATCAGTTTAAATGTGCGTTCAGCCTATTGGTCGGTGTTTGGTGTGCAAGTTGGTGTGTTTTGAACAATATGAACATCTGGGTAGCCATTAACAAGTGAGAACACCAATAATTCCATACCATCCCATCCTACCCCAAAAGTTAACTTCCAGATTCCCCTCTGTTTTGTCCAGTGAGGTCTTCTTTAAAGTTTTATTGTCTTTTTCTGTATCTGGTTGCAGTTGGGGGTGTTGGGTGGTGGTCAGCGACAACCTGTCAAAGCCTGCTCTCTCCTTCCTCCAGGTGTGCCCAGGGAAACAGGTTTGGGTCATCAGGCTTGGCAACAAGCAGCTTTACTTCCTGAACCATCTTGCCAGCCCCTCTGAATGATTTCCCTTAGCGACATATTGTATGCATCTTTTCTAGTATTGCATGCATGTGGCAGTACATGGTACGGACTCTGTGTCTGACTTCCTTCACTCAACATGTCTTAAAATTCATTACCTATGTTACCCAAATGCAAACTTTGTCTCTTTTTTAGTCCTGAGTTCTGTTCAGTTGTACGGATAACACCGCAAATGGTTTCCCTATTTAATAAATGTTGATGGCCATCTAGTTTAAGTAAAGTAAGTCTTCACACTTTATTCCCTTTTGTTTCTAACTTTGTACAGGTCTCCTACTTTTTTGGGGGGGCCTATTAGTTTATATTTTCCATGTGAACTTCAGAGTTACCTTGTCGCTGTTTTAAAAACTGTTTTTAAAGCTGAGAGTGCCTTGAACCAACAGAACAATTTCTTTTCCTTCTGTTGTTTGCTCACTGGTCAACTTAAGGAGAATTGCTATATGATTGACACTGAATCCTCCAACCTACAAACATCTATATCTTCATTAACTCATGTACTCTTTAATTCCTCTCATGAATATTTTATAGCTTTCGGCATGGGGAATTTGCATATCTTTTAAAATATATTCGGAAGTAATTTAGCCATTTGTGATGCTATTGTAAACAAAAATATTTTGGAATTCTAATTTCCAATTGTTTATGGCTGGTACAAAGAAATAACTGTTGGGGGTAGCTTCATATTATTCAACTTGATTAAACATATTCATTAATTCCAGTGGTTTTTGCTTTTGTTTTCATCTTAAAAGAGTCTTTCAGATTTTCTACATACAAATAAATTCCATTTTTCACCTTTAATTTGTTACCTATTTTGCTGGGTAGGACACAAAAGCACCTCTGAATAAAAACAGTAGGAGTTACTAGGCCAGGACCTATACATACCTTAGGTCATGTCATTATCACTGTTCTATTGCTGTGAAGAGACACCACGGCCAAGGAACTTATAAAAGAAAGCATTTCATTGAGGACTTGCTTACAGTTCTAGAGGATGAGTGTCTGACCATCAGGGTAGGAAGCATGGTGTTAGGCAGACATAGCGCTGGATCAGTAGCTGAGAGCTTACATCTGATCCACAAACGAGAGAGAGAGAGAGAGAGAGAGAGAGAGAGAGAGAGAGAGAGAGACAGCCTGGCATGGGCTTCTGAAACCTCAACACCCATCCCAGTGACACACCTTCTCCAACAAGACCACACCGTCTAACCCTTCCCAAACAGTTTCACCAAGTGGGAACCACACATTCAAACATATGTGCCTGTGGGGGACATTCTCATTTGAATGGCTATAGGTCAGCAGTGGTCTTTTATCCTTAAATACAGTGTTTTAGGTTTCATGAATACCTGTTGTGAGCTGGGGAAGTCCCCTTCAGTTCATACTTTGCTAGCACTTCTTCCTTTGTTTTACCGTGAGTGACTTCTGAGTTTTGACAAATACTTTTCTGTGTCAATTAAAATTACTATTTTATAAAATGTACAAGTTTTACCCTTGTTAGCTAGTTGATAGTACTAACTGTTTAGTCTTCCTTTAGCTCCATTATTGCTTCAACGAAAACCTGCCTGGTCGATGCCAATTGTGCTTTTTGCTGCTGGGAGGGGTTCAAGACAGGGTTTGTTTATATAGCCCTGACTGTCCTGGAACTAGCTCTGTAGACCAGGCTGGCATCAAACTCATGGAGATTCACCGACCTCTACCTCTACCTCCTGGTATTAAAGGTGTGTGCCCCTACTGCCTGGCTGCAAATTGTACTTTTTGTATACTGTTGATGTGCATATTTGCTAAAATTATTACCTATATTTGGCATAATGCTGAGCAATGTTCTTTGTAAATGTAGTTGTTGGAAGTTTATTTAAAAACAAACAAATAAACAAACACACAAAAAAATCTCTATTAGAAGGGCTGGCCCTTAGTTTATTGGTATTTTTTCCTATTGCTTACGTATTTTTTATCCTTTCTTTTTTCTTCCTTTTCTTTTTAGTAGCCTCACACTATAGCTTAGGCTAGCATGAAACTCACTATGTGGCTTCAGACTCTTTGTGATTCTCTTACTTCAGACTCCCTCATGCAAAGAACAACGGATTGTGGAGTACTTAGCCTCCGTAGATACATCTATAATAAAACTGCTACATCTAAGACTCACGGAGCATCCCAGAAGAAGGGACAGAAGGACTGGGAGAGTCAAAGATGCTACGAGATTTTGACATAGAAATTTTGACTCCTAGAAACGACAGGGAAGCATTGCCTATGATGCCTAAACAATATGGGTACCTAAACAAGACCCAAACAAGCAAAATACCAGAAGACATTCTGATGTGCAAGAAAGAAATTCCCAGGATCCTACTCCTAGACGAAGAGCTAAGAAAACTAAGATATGCTAAAACTAGGAAAAATGGTCTTTCCCAGAGATGAGTCACCTAAGTGGTTATCTAATACAAAGTGATCAGCCTTGAAAAAACACACATATGGGGCTGGAGAGATAGCTCAGCTCTTCTAGAGGTACTGAGTTAAATTCCCAGCAACCACATGGTGGTTCACCACCACCTATAATGAGATCTGGTGCTCTCTTCTGGTGTGCAGGTAAAACACTATACCTAATAAATAAATAAATAAATCTTTTTAAGAAACTAAAATATAGTAACAATATATAAATATATACAAGTAACAAAACATACTGAGAATGCTGTATTTATATATATTTGTGCATATATATGCATATATAATATAATGGATATAATTGCACATACATATATATCTCATATATATAAATTAAAGAAAAAGAGGCCATGACTGGAAGAAGGAGCAAAGGTTAGGAAGACTTTGGAGGGAGGAAAGGGAAGAGGGAAATAATGTAATTATATTTTAATTTCAAAAAAGTCCATTAGAAATAAAAAGTAACAGGAAAGAGAATTAGAGAGTTTATATTTAGAAACATGGCACAAGCTTAACACGTTTTTGTCTGATTCAGTCCTAACAATGTATCTTTATTTCTGTTTTACAGATAGAAAAATGAAGACTCAGAAAGGGCAACTGATTTAGCCATGATCCCAAAACTGATAACTCACAGGAGCAAGACTGACCCCAGGCTTGACTTTAAAACCTCCTCATCAGCAGGGAGGGGAGCTGAGAGAAAAATGTAGCGCTCAATAAAAAAATCAATAAAAAAATAAATAGAAAATAAAAATAAAACCTTCTCGTCTTCTGATACCTGCTGTGGCTCTCCAAAGTTCACCCATGTGCTACAGTTAAACATTTCCCCACGGAACATTTAAAACCTACACTGTAGAGTTTGTGTGTTCTTGGAGTTTTTACTCGGGAACTTAGAGGCTCTTAGGGTAAACACAAATAGCCTTCTTCCTGCAGCCCAAAC